TGGTAACTTTGTGATAAGTTTTTGTTGAGCATTTAATGAAAAATAAAAATGTTATTTATGAAGATTTTAATGAGCAGTTGTTTATGGAAATGTGATGAAGAAGTTTTAGGATTACTTGAGTGTTTTTTTGTTTGACTTTTAAGAACTGTGAATAAGTGCTCAATTAGATGGGTGCTGGATGGGAGCAATAGTAATTGAAGTTCTAGAATCAGTTCTTTTTTATTTGAGAAAGCTCAATTCGTTCATACAATAAAAAGAAAATTTATTCATGCGTCATATTTTAGAAACCACATTACTGTCTACTCCGAATATTGCGCACGGACTATGTTTTCACTTTTTTGAGCTTATTTTCAACAGTGAAGAATTCAAAGCAATAAAACCAAACATTATCACGTACAAATACATCTTTCAGCAACAATGTCTATCCCCAAATATTCACGAAGCATACAATCTTCATTGAATATGCAACAGCATCAACATCGGCCGTTTATTCTTCATTATCATCATAAATGTCCAATAAAAAGCTGTATTTTGACTCAAAAAGTAAATAAGAACGATAAAAGTTAAGTCCACAAATTGCAAGCACAAATGTTTGTGAATGAAGGAAAAGCTCGCAACATACGAAGCAGAATTGGAGGATTTAGGATGAGGATGAATGGAATAAAATTAAATGGGACGTTTTAATGAAGTACATTAAAGAATATGAAAAATTTAGAGGACGTTGAATAATAATGAGAAAATGTGGATAGAAGGGAGGAACCGGGGATGATGTGGAGCTAGATTAAACTATAAACATCTGCCATAGATGAAGCAAAATGAATCTAATGATACCAGATGGTCTAAAGAAATCTGGATTTTCTATGAGATGTGCCAGAATAAACCTTAAAACTACAATTTCAAAATTGTAAATTCGTGCGTCAAATTTTTGGAAGACAGTAAACTTTTTCCCAAAATATGACGCACAAAAAATTGCTTTCTTCAATAAATTTTAAGAACTTTCAAATTTCAAGGTTACAAAGTAGCAGTCAAAAGCGAAAAGTCAGTGTAGTAGAAAGCGTTGTCGTCAACCAGGGTTGAATCGGAGTCTTGTAATTTTTGATGAATTTTCATGGGTACAGTGACTAAGAACACTGATGCTCCAGAATGATGTGGTGTTCGCGAGTTACAAGGCAGTATTGTGCATGGAGAAATTCAACAAGGTGTTCCCTTCAAGTCGCCACAATGTCAACATAAACTTTTTACCTCTCGGGGGTCTTTTCCTTGCTAGTTTTTGGAGCGGACATCAACTTTTTAAAAGGAGTTCGATACTGTTTAAAAGAACTGAAATTTATCTCAATTTTCATCCTCAAACATGCACAAAAAAAGCTCCTTTCACGGCAAATTGACGGAAATAAGAAACAAATTGAGAGTCATCACAAAAAATTGTTGACTGAATATTTATTCACATGAGTAAAATTGAGTATGAAAACCAGTAAATTTACAAAAATAAGAAAGAAATACTGCAAAATTTTCGGTACATAATCATATACAATGTTGAAATATGGAGAACAAATGAGGCATGGCATACAAAATATGTGATATTAAATGAAATTATCGACATGAGTGGTGTATTTTGGAAGCTTTGTGATGCGCATCACGTTGGCAGAGGCTTTTGGGGTTGAAATGTGATAGTCAGCGTTGGGAAGTAAGGCAATTGTGGGTTTTTTGTGAATGTTATAATGCACAAGGATTGTTCAACAGAACAAGACAATTCCTATTTTCTGTAGATTGTGATATCATATCCATATGAACCCTAGTGAAGGATGTAAAAAGCTGGTGGGTAGTTTATAACCCAGCCAAAATAAAATTAGCGGAAGCTTCATCGAAATTTTTTCAAAATTGCAGATTATTTTTTAATTTCCTGTCTATGATTGAATTTTTATAGCATACGGTGAAAGGATGTCATGCAGTTTGTTGGTAAACTTAGTCAAAAATAGATTTTACGACAGAATAAGCTCATCAGATGATTTTTGTTCTTAAATTAATTGAAAATTCTGCATTCATTTTCATTCAAACTAACCTCAACAATAAAAAGTGCTCGTAAAAAAGATCCTTATTTGCATACGTTCCACAAAACTAAGCAAAACAGTAAAACAGTTTCGATTTTTTTGTATCTTTTTTTTTCATCAACTTGATGCAAGGTTTGTGAATGTGAATTGACAGGAAGTTGAAGAAAAAGTATTTTGTAGTTCTTTGGGTGTTTTTGAATTGCATTTAATGATTGAGTATAGTTGGTGGTAAATTTGGAAACCTTTTCGGCCAGTTTCACTAAAGTGGATTATCCTCGATTTCGGATTATCCACTTAAGTTTTTTGGAAATATCTCCAGACGCTTAAGGTTATTAAGAGATCTAATGTGTGATCTAGTTAGAGTACTTTGCTACTTAAATTAACATTTACTTAGAATTTTTATATCTTCATTAGTTTGAGAATTATAGCAAAAATCGAAGTTAATCTACTAGATTTGGCTAGAATATTGAGCAATTAATACTTCTTAAGGAAAAGCAAAAATTTAAAGTATACAGAAATTTCAGGCATAGTTCACTCTATTATAATCCAAAATTAGAAATACCACACCTCCATAAAGTTTAAGATACTTGCAAAAAACTGAAGTAGATAATCCCAAATCGAGGATAATCCACTTTAGTGAAACTGACCGATTGAGTTTCAATTGTTTAATAAACAAACCCAAAAATTAATAAACTTTAACATATCCACAAAAAAGACAACACTCGAAAAACCTCAAAATAATCGATTGAGTCTCAAAATTCATCTTACAAAGTAAAAAAAAATCCAATTTTCTTTTCTTTTCTTTTTTAAAATATTCAACTGAACCCTTCGGTGTGCAATTTTACTCAATCTACTAACCACTTTTCATTTTTTGCAATGCTTTTTACGAACCAGAAAATTGCTTAAATTTACTCATTGAATTAACTTGAAAAAAATTGTTTTAAAAAAGAAAGGCAAAATAATAAACTTGAGTCAGTGGTGGATAACCTTTTTGTTGTGCCACGGCACATCTTACTAATAAACATTGATCAAATCCTCACACGGTTTTTACTTGAGTGCCGCAGCACAAGGGTTATCCATCACTGCCTAGTGTGATTAAGGAAAATATAAAAAGATTAAAAAAATTAAGAAAGGAAAATTATCATTAAGTAGACGTGATGATTATTAAAGTAACTTCAAGGTCAAGGAATAAAATATCCTTTTTGTTGACATTTTAAGGAACAGATGAAAAAGTCGTTTGGCTATAATTTTGTTACTTTCATTTTAAATATGAGAATTTAAATCTTTAGTACTAAAGTTCTCTTTTCCTTTTGAATTTTCTCTTTTGAAAATTTTTCACAATTTTCAAATTAAAATTGTACTTCAAAAAATGTCAAAAAGCTTTGTTGTTTCTCTTTTTAAGCTGTTTTTGGTGTCTTGACTGAAAAAAGCTCATGAAACATTAAAACATTGACACAATTAAACGATGAACAGTCATTAAAATGAAGACATTCAACATAAAATTATCAGTAGTGCTGAAGGATTTAAGACTGAATTGAGAATGTTTAAATGTTGTTCTATTGAAGACGAGATAGGACCCGATTATATCTCGTTCCTGGCATGGAAAAAGCGTAGCTTTAGCAGTTAAGTGCCTTGCTGGTCGAATAGGTAAAGCGCTTGCCTCAAATTTGGAATAGTAACTCGAAGTTCGTCGGTTCGAATCCAGCCATTTTCAAATTTGTTCTTTTTCGGAAGTTTAGATACTTCGACTGCTTAATTATTATTATTATTATTATTTATTATTATACTTTCTCTTAATGTACAAACTCAAGCCATAATTGGGCATTTGGCCAACGTTGGATTAAGGAACGGGTCAGGAACTTGAAGTTTAGCGGAAGAAATAGGAACGAGAGCTACAAGATTACCCACGAATGGAATATTGTTAGAACGGACCTGAAAAGTATCACGTAACGCCCACAGAAGATCGAAACGAGAGCCTTAGTTTATTTGAAACCTAGATTTGAAGATTAGAAGTTTGATCCTACATAATATTAATTCATATGTATACAAATACAAAAGTGTAAAATGTGAATTATTACCGGGCAGTATGTCGTCAATAAATGCAATAAATGCAATAAGTGGTTTATGAGTTAAGATAGGTAAGACTGGCCCATCTTTTGTATTGACTCTAAGACCAGAGAAGTTTTTTGAGTCGAAACTCTAGTAGCATAGCTAGCTTTCGTACCAAGAACAATAAATTAAGCTAATGAACTCAATTTCAAAGAATTCTCAATGTCGTCATTTTTAAAAACCAGATGATTAAGACTTTTTGATCTAAATTGTTCAACATCACCTCCAATTCATGTCAAATAAGAGAATCTTAAGATTTAGCACAAAAGCTCTCTTTTATGGTGAACTTTCTCACTTTTCAGAATTTTTAAATTAGAAGTTTTTCTCAAAAATATTTTAAAGCTGCGTTGATTCTGAATTTGGTGTCTTGACTAAATTTAACTGTCAAAGCATGAAAACATTGGCGCAATTAAACAACAGACAATCGGAATTCTCTGAATTTTTAAGCTGATGCTGAAGATGTAGCCAAAGAAGAGGGTGGGGGTAGAGGAGGTGATTACTGGAAATCCACTGAAGAATAAATCCAAGTCCTACCATTTATATTCAAGAATTTTTTCCAAATTAAGGGGAGGAGGGTCCAAAAACAGGAACCTGAACTGTTCCAATCAGTTGATTGGATTTCCCTTAAAAAAGAGAATATTCAAGAACGAGCAGCATTAGAGACAAAGCAATAAAATATCAATTTTGCCAACAACTGCAATGAAAATTAAGAACCTTGAGTTATTTCTCTTTTTTTGTCAACAGTCATCCATGACCTCAGACAAGAAGCTATTCCGGTTTTGTAAGATTTATAAGAACAGCAATAAAAAAAACATTAGACTGATGAATCAGTTGTTTTGGAACCTCAGTTAGATTAAGGTGTTAATTTTTACTTCACTGCTGGATAAATCATCAAACATAAATATTTATTTAAATCTTTTCACTATCAATTGTTAAGTTGGAGGTGTTGCGATAAAATAATCTAGTTAAAGTCAATTATTAAGTCACAAACCCACAGTTTAAGTTACAGCAAGTGAATATTTCATTAAAACAGGTTTAACATTGCAGGAAATTCCAATGCAAGTGACATCAAAGATTCTTTACTTTCTGAACTTGATATTAATATTTGCGGTTAATATTCATGCTCAAAAAATTGAATATCTTAAATTTATACCTGAAAATGACGACTGTAAACTCAATCAAGATGTTTATGGCACATGCAAAAAAATTTCAGAGTGCCGAAGTGAATTTGAAAAGTTTCGAAAAAATAAATCCAATTTAATAATTTGCAACTATGGCGATAGTGTGCAGAACAGCATAATTTGCTGTCCAAATGATGTCGAGACATCAAAATTAACGATTAGTGACAAGATTGATGACAAGCCGACTAGAAAAAATATTTTAGACTTCAAAACCTGTCGAAATGAATTTTTAAAGTTCAGGAACTCTTCAATCAATCCAAATCATTTTGCTGAAGAACTTAATGCCAAGAGACTTCCAATAAATAAGGAAAATTGTGATAAATTAGATCAACTTAATAAAATGAGTGAGTATAAATTTGTTTTGTTGTCAACTGGGGTTCTATGGATTTAGTCAAAACTAAGATGATATTCCGAGGCTGGTTTCTAGAACTAACCCAATATGCAATGATGAGATGACCCAGGCTCTTTAATACTTCCAATTAATTAAATTTATCAATTGCTTTTAACAACGGCCAGTCTCAGACTGCTGATTTTAGACATCCTTAAAGGGCCGTTTACTTATGACGTCTATCAAAAAACCTTATTTTTTGACCCCCTGCCTCCCCTGTCACATTATGTCACAGGTTTTTTAAACCCCCCCACCCCCCTCCCCTCTAAATGCTTGACGTCATAACTGCACGACCCTTAAGTGCCTCAACCATAAAACCTTTTTTCAACAGCAAAAAATTTCTGGGACTTGAGGAGCTTCAATTGCGTCAAAGATCCTGATGGAACCTATCGACTTGTTGGTGTAGCTGCATATTTTGCAGAGCTTGTCAAAAGAGGTGATCGTCCGAATATGGCAGCAATTGGATGGACGCAACCAAATAAAAAATATTTTTATGGATGTGGAGGTTCGATAATTACTGAAAAATTCATTGTTACAGCTGCACATTGCAAGTTTCGTGAAAAGTGAGTAAAATTAATTTTTCAAGCATTTAGGGCTTCATGGCTCTTAGTTTTGTGGCACCAAGGATATTAAAAGTATTCAAATCGATCAAATCTCACTTTTTATTGTTCAATCTCCTTCTAATTTCTAGAAAGCAAGCAGACACAGTTCGTCTAGGTGACAGATTCCTTCTAACAAGTGAAGATGATGACACAGCCCAGCAGCTACGCATTCAACATTTCATCTTACATCCACTTTACAAGTCGAACCTTAATTATCATGACATTGCAATGATTAAGACAGTTGAAACAATTTTATTCAATAAATTCGTTGTTCCATCTTGCATTGATGATTTGGGGTCTGATAAAAATGGACTGTTTACTGAATGGACTGTCGCTGGATATGGAGAGGTGAGATTTAGGAAAATTCTAGTTATTTTAAAAGACATCATCCAAGACTATCAAATCAAGTGGCTTTTGACAGATTTTCTTTTTATTTGGGGTCGTTCACCCATTACGTAACAAACAACGACTTTTTAGACTTCTTCTTCCCCAAACACCAGATTTGTCACAAAATCCCCCCCCCCCCACTCCCCTCTCTAAGAGTGTTACGTAATAAGTGAACGGCCCCTTTAAACCTCTTTAAACCACTTCCAGACTGAAGATGGAGTTGCTTCAAACGTTTTACTAGAACTCAAAGTCGATCTGGTTTCTAATGAAGAATGTAACAAGACCTTTGAGGACAACGACAGGCTCCCAAATGGAATACTTGACAGTCAATTTTGTGTCAAAAGTCAAGCATTTGGTGGAAATGTGCCGGATACATGGTAAGTTTTGGTACTTCTAATAGATCTAGTCTAGTGACGGCCAGCCCGTGAGCAATAAAAAATTCGGAAAATTCGTGCAGTTTCGGTCGAAGAGTGCGGAACTGATTAATAAGGTTTTGATCAATTTTGATAATTTTTTGATCTTTTATGATCATTTTGATCAGTTCCGCACCCTTGTTTTGGTCATAGCTTACCATCAAATTGTACAGTGGCACAAAACAGATTGACCACTACTAATCTAATCAATAGAAAAGCTTATCAAGCTTAACATCTGGTTTCTTACCTAAATTATGTCACAGAATAACTTTAATTTCCAGCTTTGGAGATTCCGGAAGTCCACTGCAGTTTAAAACAGCATTTGAAGTATTTCCAAGTAATTTCAACAAAACTTTCATCTCAACGATGTATGAAGTCTCAACTGTCTTAGGAATTGTATCATTTGGTGTCAGTTGTGGACTAGAAGTGCCATCAGTTTATACTAAGCTTGTTTATTATCGCGACTGGATGAGTTCTGTGGTGGATACTTATTAAGAATTTAAGACACTTTTAAGCAATTCTAGTGTGGGAATATTAGGGACGCAGGGGGAAAATAGCTATGCGTTCAATAGTCTAAATAAGGCCCTCAAAAACCTATAAATCATCAACCTTGCTCAAGTAAAGCTTATTAAATAAAACTTAATTAATTGACATTTTATTATTATTTTTATTATCATCCAAAATCATCCAAAAATTAAAATTTCTCAATTTTCCTATCATTTTTCGTCACACATGACTTTGGACTCAACGAGTCACAATCCATTGAATTTATATGCGTCACTTTTTCACCTTCACAATTTTCATTTCCATTTTTTCCGCTGCATTTTGCGTTGACTGAAATTGAGTTGCTGGACGATGAAGATTTAAAGTTTGCATCTGGATCACTTGAGCTGGATGAGAAGCTAGAACTGGATGATGAAGATGATGAGTAACTTGACCCTGAACTTGATGAAAATGAGCTGTGGCTGTGCATTTGTGGAAAGTCTGCATCTAAATTGAATAATTCATCTGAATTGAGGTTGTTGAAGAATTCTGAAGTTGCAAAACTGACAAAAATGCACAAAATTGTGATGAAAATGGACAAATTCATGTCGAACAGGATTTAAAAATTTCACAAAAATTAAATTAAATTTCTCAGATGTTTGTCGTGTTTAGTAAACAATCTCTGTAAAACTACTGACTCAATATAATCTTAAATGTTTAAAACAAAAACAACGAAACATTTGACAACAGCACAACGTGTACTTTTTGCTATTCACAGCTGTAATTCTTTGCATGTGTTGTCAATAAAACATCTTAACCAACATCAACACATGCGAAATGTAAGAGATTATAGAAAACTGCATATGAGGTTGAATTTTATCAAGGTTTGAGAATGTTAACTGCATTTATTGGCATCTACAGCAATTTGTGATGCATGTTTGAATATATTGACACTAAGGTTCATGTATTAAAGGTGTTTAAGGTTTGAAACATCATTACTTATTGTCACATTACTGCTGGATACTATAAGATATCGAATGAGTGTATATACTCAGGCTGTCTATCGGTTTTTGCCGATTTTTGGTCAAAAAGTGGAAGATGACCCAATTTAAGCTCTGACAAAGCTAGACAGACCAAGTTTTCAAGCATTTTTCAAGAAAATTAGGTTCAAAAATGCAGGAAATTAAAAACTTTAGGCCAGACTGTGTTCAAAAATGCGGAATTCTCCCGCTCGCTTAGTCAGCATGCTTAATACAGTTTTGATCAGTGTATGGATCTGCTTCGACATTTCTCTTATTTCTTGGCTCGACACTTTACTTCGCTGGCTGTATAGAGTTACAATAAACTGTTATAACAGTGCACAAACAGCAACAAGGACACATAAAAAGTTCCAGATCTAAGTAGGCTACACTGGAGATACTAGTTTTATCATTCAGAATAAATCAGTGCTTCTGGAATTTTTCAATGGTCTTAACATATTATAAGGAGACCTGTACAAGCTCCATTCAGAATTATCTTCAAATCTGACTTTATAGATGGCAAGAGAGCACGTTAACAACCCAATTACTTATTTAAGGAAACTGTATTGCTTTTGGTAACAAAATAATTCCCATTCAGCTTTTTAAGTCCCACTTTTTAACACATCTTGGATTTCCTCGTCTGAACAGAAATAAACCACTGATTATTATTATCAAGATCAGATTTCCTGGCATAAATAACCTTCGGGATGAAGACTTGTGGTGTAAATAAACTAAAACAACAATTTACCTGCTCCAAATTTAAACATAACCAAAATTGCATTCAAAATACGAAATCAACAATAGTCTATATCAGGGGCGTAGCCAGGGGGGGGGGGGGGGGGCATAGGGCCCGCCCCCCCCCCCCCCTACGAAAATCTGATAATTGTTTTATTAAGTATTTATAGAGAAGAACCAGTTAATGTAGAGGAAGTGATGAAAGAAATGTCAAAATCAGCACGAAAAATTAAATTTAATGTATGAATAATGAATTAAATATTTAAACTTATGAAGAGTGAATATAGATTTAAGGATACAAAATAACGGTTCTTTAATTTTCAAAAATGGGCCCCCCCTTAAAAATTTTCTGGCTACGCCCCTGGTCTATATCTCGTTATCCATTAAACATTCAGGTAAAAAAAAATCTTAAAGTAATTTTAAAAATCCTGAGCATTTCGCTCTATTCAAATCTTTTTCTCGTTAATTTTCAGTTCCTTCAGTAAAGTGAAGTGGTTTTCCCCAACGAGAAAAACATCAGTCGAGTGTCCCATTAGCGCAGTGGATAGCGCGCTGGACTTCTAAAGCATTCAGCTAGAAGAGATCCAGAGGTCCTGGGTTCGATCCCCAGATGGGATGGATGACACGTGGATATTCTTTTTTGATGATTTTTTGACGGTTTAATGAAATTGGTGAGAATTTTCAAATAAAAATTGATTATTAAGGTTTAGAGAAATTAAAAGGTTCTATTGAGCCTTTATGTGAGTAATTGGAAATGACAAAAAAAGTGTTTCAAATTCCAAATGTTCCAGATTTACAAAGTTTTATGTTCCAAAGTATTTAATGAATAGACTTTAAGTTCTAAAAAAGCATGTGGCTATTTTTATTTTGTATCAAAAACTGATCCATACAAAGGAGTTTGGTCTGATTGCCAATGGACATTTTTCATTGGGACTTTTGCCTACTCACACTTTTCCTGAAGAGCTTTGATTGATATAAATGAATCATGTGTGTCTTGACTGATGTCACTGGTGAGGAACACCAGAAAAATGAAACGAAGGAAAATGGAACATTTTCCGTTAATGCAAATGAAATGTTTTAAAGAGCTAGAGTTCCCACGGAGAGATTCTGAGTCATTGGCTCCTTTATTAAAAGAACAGATGTTTTATTATATAACGCATTAAGGATGTAATCACTAAATCTCAATTCAGACTTTTCCCCAACCCACATTCATCCTCTCTTTACAATTTCAATTGTTTAAAATTTTACAGACTCAACAGGTGTCAAAAGTTAAAGGTCTATTGTCACAATTCTATGTAGCTGATGCCATAGAAATTCGCTATTATTTATTTAAAGTAAACAAAAACCATTTTTCTATAAAACCTTAAATTTAAGCAAATTATTGTAAACTTTATTAAATTCTACATAACCTTTAAGTTCCTCAATTTCCTTGAATCTTTTTTTATAATTCTTGAATCTACGATGACAACCCGCTCCGGTCTAGTCGTCAGTCCATGTAAGAAGATACCACGAAGAAAGAGAACAATCGACATCAATTCACTTCTACCGTGTGCCATAACTCGACCAGTTCCATTTTCACTCAAACCGTATGCATCCTTGTACAATCCGTACGCTAAAGGCTGCTCTATACTCTGCAATCATCCTAAAAGAGGAAAAAAATGGGTAAGAATTGCACTAAATAATTCTATGACTTTAAAAGCTATAGTTCCATCTTTACAGACCACAATGTCAGCCAAGACAACTCCAACTTATGTCCAACAGCACGTTATTGACATCCCCGACCACGTTCCTGAAGAATTTTTTCGTCGTTTCACAGACACTGACTCACGTCCATTAACACCAACACCAAGTTGCGCTACAAGTGCTCGAACTCGAGGACATGCCATGGGTGCATCACATCTTGGTGCTCGTCGTTGTGTAACTCCAGAGCCAGTCAGTAATGAGCAAGAACGGAAGCAAATTATTCTGGATTTACGACGAAGTCACTCACAAGAAACTTTATATTGGAATGCATCATCGGAATTTTCACAACCTGGACGACAGGACTCGACATCTTCATCGTGGATGACACATCCAACGATTAAGCATGAAATTGAGATTATTGGGACATCACAGAATCCAGAAATTGATGATATTGCTGAGATGGAGGAAGAGGAAATTGAATATATTTTTCATGACATAATCAACGAAACTGAAGATCTGATTGATGATCCAACAATGTCGTGCATTTATGCCAGAGATGATGAGGATGACGAGGTTGTCCGACGACGAGGAAAGTTACGTCGTAAAAAATCAAAATCGAGCCTGCAAGTCATCACTTTTCAGCCTAGCAATGAGCCAGAGACTCACGTGGCTCAGATTGACGATGGAGATCAAGATTCTCCAAATTTATCGAGTAGACACTCACTTGTTCCAGATAGTGCTGCAACAGCTGCAGCAGCTAAAAGTATAAGAAAAGATGGAAATGAGGATTTGGTACAGAAGAATGTTTTTCATACTGACGACTTGCTGAAGTCACTGAAAATGGGACTGAATGTTGATGTTGTTGAGTGCGTCTTTGATCGGTATGTGAGTATTAACTACTGTTTAAAGATTTGCTGTATATCTGATTGCCAAAAGAGTTTACCGTTCAGTTACTGGTGGTTAGCTGTCTGCCTGTTTAGGTGGCTGACAGTCTGTATGTATTTCTGGCTGTGACATTAAAACTTACAATCTTTCATCCTTCCTTTTCAGCGCCATCGAACCCTTCAAGAAGCATTTCGTTCTATTTCACCTGAACGCCTCGGTATGGACTCTGACGCGGTTCGTGAAATGAAACAATCGCTTAACCTGGAAGAGTACAGCAATGAAAAATGGCAGCACTTACCGAGAAGATTCTCACGCTCATCAGCTCGATTTGAGCTTCCAATTGATATCCGTGAAATGTCAAAATTGAAGCCATTTAATTATCTCAGCAAATATGTCTATGTTGAAAGTGACAAGAAGCAGCTTTACCATCGAGTCTTTGTCAAATATCTGCCAAGAAGTCAAATGAATCGTGAAGAAGCTGAACATGATGATTTGTATGCGAATTTAGAGATGAGAAAAGCTTTTATGGAAAGTCTCTTGGCTGCAAGAGTCATGCCTATTGATAAGCTCAATGAAGCACTTCATGAGGTTCTCGGATTTCATGCAACTGTGGAGAACGTGAAAGAAATTGAAAATTTCCTTGAGCTACATACTTTGGACAATGACACAGCAATAAATTTCCGTACTTTTTGTGGAATCGTAACTTTTGGAGAGCGATTGATTACGAATTTAAGTCAAGAGGATGATCCACGAGATGAGATTGAAATTGCCGACTTTGAAACTATGCTAGCAAGACATTTTGATAAGATTGAGAATCAAATGATGAAGAAAATGTTTGAGGTTATTCAAAAATGAATGGAACTTGCTTAAAGACTTGATTTTGAATTATGGCAGATCTTACTAGAACTTACATAGACAGAAACTAGACCAAACCTATACCTAACCTATACCTAACCTATACCTATCCTATACCTAACCTAAACCTAACCTATATCTAACCTATACCTAACCTGTACCTAACCTATGCCTAACCTATACCTAACCTATACCTTGCCTCATATTCTTCTACTATGCATAATAGACGAGCCAAATGTATTTTGATAATAAAAGTATAAAACCAACACTTGTCTTTAAGCAGCAATACTGTTAATTAAGTTGTTTTTTCAGCTATGAATTTGGAATATATGAAATTTTGGTCGCTACAATTTTTGTTTAAACAGATGTTTAAAGTTTTCTTTCATATTTCCCGTCTGCTTTTATGAAGGTTCTAATGATACAGATTTTTGAGGTTATGTGAAGCTTAGTACAACTTAGGTAATACTAATTCGAAGTTTAATAACTTAAGTTTGTGAGTAACAATACAGGAACAGTCAAATTGAAGTTCAAAGACACATTTTATTGATCTTTGCACAGATGAATTTTTAAAAAATGCTG